TATGGTGTTTGAAGGACAGTAATCGTCACTTTCAAGAACCTAGATGAGAACTATGATTTCAGCTATGGAAATCCCCACAGACGGCGCCAAATTATTTGACTCGAAAGATATTAAATCCTTTTTGAGCAAATCAATCAATGATGAAGGGGTAAATCGTAGCTAAAGATAATAAACTCTAGGATGATAATAGTAGAGAGAAGAGAATTGTAAATATTCTTTTTCATTCAAGGTTGGTGAATTTTACAAAGTCTGCCCCCTTTACAAGGCTATCATTCCTCTTATATATTGAGAAATCCCCCCCCCCTCCCCCTAGAAACGACATGCAAAAGATCCTTTTTTAGGAATATTCTCAATGTCCCCTAATAGGCTTACTCTACCACCGAGGTCGTATTATTCTTTCTGTTACTACAAGGTCGTACCCTTTCTGGGCGTCGACACGCAGGTGCTCGGCCGTCTGTCGTGCTCACGGCAGGTCGTGGTCAAATTCAGACCCATACAAGATGCACTTAAGGCCAAATAGGTGTGAAGAACAACCAATATTTTCATGCACTTAAGGTCAAATAGGTATGAAGTGCAAATTGCCCAGAAACAGAAACTTGTTCTTCGAATTTTAACAATCTAATACATGATTTAACACCTAAATTTATTCCAAATGAGCTTAAATTTGAAATATAACCTCCAATTATAATCAATAACAAACCCAATCATCGATTTATCAAAACAACAATAAATCTAACAAACTCAATGTGCAATTCAAAGAAGAAGAAAAAACCGTAAGTAGTAGTAAAATACAAAGTGACACAATAACTAACCACCGTAAAACACCTTAAAACATACTCACATATACCATAAAAATTTACCATCACCTTTATTTTCATAGCGAAGAAGAAGGAGGAAGAGGAGGAAAAAATGACCTGAAGTTGTCTATATTTTGGGTACTAATTAAAGAATTTTTTAAAAGAACAAAATTTTTACCATGCATATATATATATATATATATATATATATATATATATATATATACTTTGAGAAGAATTAGGTCTAGAAAATATAAGAGCTTAAAAAGTTGTCAGGCAAAAGGATAATAAAAGAAGCTAAAGAAGGCACTGGTAAGATAAACACTTTAAAAGAGTACTGTTGATTTTCATTATTTAAAAAAAGAGTACTCCTGATTTTAGATATTGGCAATAAGACCCAAAATAATGTTACAATTCAAAAATAAATATTAATTTAATAAGTTAATTATGAGTTTTTGGAGAAATTATATGGGATAAAATTAGTTTATAATAGATGGTCGAATGATAACATTACCCGTGAAACCGAAGACATGTAAAAGGCAAGTCAGGTAATAGTCAATATCGGATACATCGAATGTTATTGACATCGGTTAAATCCCGAAGGGAGCGTAGTCAACGAGAGAAGATCAAGGGTTTGCCATTGGATAGCATTCAATGAGGGAATATTCACTGACATTTAATGAGCAATCGTTGCAGAAAATATTTGCATTCATGGCCTACCGTTACATGTTCATCAATGACTCTTTTATTATCGTTTAAGAGGAGCTTGAGCCTAGGATCTTGTTTCCCTAGGTAACGCTATAAATAGCAGGTAAAACTTTCTACATACTAAAGCCTTATTTTATTACTTTTGCTTTCAATTTAACAACTTTATTTACATTTTATCGTTATTTTCATTTTTGCTCTCGGAGACATTGCGTGCGGGGCCAGGCTTGTCATCTTCTTCAATTTCAATTGCTAATCTTAATATTTATCTTATTCTCTTTATCATTTTTTGGATCAAATCAATTCGCTTATCTATTAGCCACGTGACAAATTTAACTATACAGTTTTACGGGTAAACAGAAATATAAGAGCAAGAAAAAGGAACAAATTATTTAGTTTATTTCTTTAAATATCTTAATTTAACATAGATCATATTCAGGTGTCCACTGAATTGAAATTAGATTAAAGTTGATTACAGGAAGACATGCACAATCTGCATATTCAAAGAGGCTGTGATCAAACCAAATTAAAGTTGAATACAGTAAAACATGCACAACCTGCATATTTAAATAGTGCTCCTATCCGTAGACTGCATTTTGGGAGTTTGAAGAGGTAAGAGGACGAGAAAAATTTCCAATATTGTCATCAAACCTACTAAGAAAAGAGTGTTTGGATTGGCTTTTAAGCTGGCCAAACCAGCTTTTAAGTTCTTTTAAACTTTTTTCACTAAAGTTCAAAAATACTTTAAAAAGTATTTAAAACAAGCCAAGAGTGGATAACCCCAACTTATTGCATTTTGGCTTTTAGGCTATTTTCTGTTGACCAATAATTTTACATTTACATCCCTTATAACTTTTTATAATTCCAGCATTACCCTCAATTACAAAAGCCCTAAATTAATCTTCTTCGCTTTCTTCATTCTTTCTCCACAACCGTCTTCTCTCTTTTTTCCTTTTCTCCATCAATTCAGGCTTTACCATCTTTTATGCCTTAGCTACTTAGCCCAATTACAATGGCGATAATTTATTTTAATTGCTCAGTTACTGTTTGTCATTGTTATTTTCAATTATTTTTTAATTTTTGTGGTACATTAACAAAAACAGCAAGTCTAAATGCAAAAATTCCCTTTCTTTGTCAATGTTTTATCTTCGTGCCTACAAAATACTTATGAATTATTGTAACCTATCAAAAAAAGATACTTCTGAATTGCTGTAACATCGATTTAATTTGGCACCATCTCCTCATTTTTTTCCCAATGTGTCAATATCACTCTAGTGACATAACTTAGAATGGGTACTATATTATTTTTATTTGATTATAGGTAAAAATGTTTGATACGAAAAAATAATTATATATCAAGGTAGATTTTAAAAAATTTTAACCACGGAGATAGATATAATATGAGGACATTTATAATTTGAATTGATTAAAATATGAAGTAGTAAGTAGATAATACACAAAAATATTACTGATTTACTTAGAAAATTAAGTAATAGAATAATGGAAGAAGGTGTAAAGCAATAAAAGTCATTTATTATAATACAATAATATAAAATAGTAGATAATATAATAAAGAAGAATAAGAAATAAAAATATTATTCGATTATGATTTGCTTCCTTTCATTTCATATAAATGTTTTTATTATATATATTATAGTGAAAATCAAAATGGAAGTTGAATTTTTATTTTTCAAAATAATGTGATCTAACATGCTCAAATAACAGACATCACAATTTGAAATGATTATTATTATTTAATACGATCCACGCATCGCACTGGTTCTAATACTAGTAAACTTAAAAATAACTTATATTTATAAAAATCACTTATGTAATCCGTTGAAATTGAAAGTGGAAATATAAATTATTTTGTATTGGAATAAATTTAGAATTAAAATCCTATGGTAATCAACTCCTTTATAGCTTAACATATTTAAGGATATCTTAGTCATTTTATCATAAAAAGGTGCTTACGAGCACTTGTTTACCAAACACATTAATACTTTTTTTTCCAGTTTTAGCAATTTTATCCAAACACGTAACTGTTTATTTATAAAACTAACTTCTGCACTCATAAAGTGCTTTAAGTACTTGTGCTTAAAAGCTAGTACTTTTTTTCCGACCAATTCAAACGGGCTCTTAGTCTCAAAAATCTTAAGAGGGAGGTTTCTAAAAGCGAGTTGAAGCGGACCTTGCATTCTTTCGTGCTAATCTTATTAGTAGAATTGGGTGGCAGTTAAAGATGATAATACGAAGAAAAAAAAATGTTTGCAGCAAAAGATCAATCACTTTGCGTGTTTAGTGTAGATGCTCGTAAGAAATAATATATCAGCTTTTGACCTCATAAATAGAATTTGTAAGAATGTGGAGACCCTTTTTCATTGGAATACTCTGCCCTCCTAGGGTAACGGTAAGGTCGGCATACACAGTATTCTCCCCAAACTCCACTAATGAGAATTCACCGAGTTTCTTGTTGTTGTTGTTATTTTTCACTGGAATACATGCCCTTAAATCAAATGAATAACTAAGAAGAGTGTTTATTGCACTTTGATCACTTACACTAAATAATCAATATGGCTTTGAAGGAAAAAGATAACGGCGCATCATGAAATAATAAAGTGGTAAGTTTTTTTTTTGCTTTGAGCTTCAACAATCCTAGTGTGAGGCTAATAACTTAACTGAAAGAATTTTAATGTGCAGTAACCATGTACATCTATCCAGATGCTACATTAGCCAATAGCATAATCAAAGTCGTATATATAATCACATTAGCATTTTACCAACAATTAAATCAACGGAAAAGGGTCTGATATGTCCCTCTACTATGATTAATTGTTTAAAGTTGTCACCCGTTATACTATTGGGCCATAAAACTCTCTGCCGTCTTACTATCCTAACAAATCTATCCTTAATTAGGCGGAGGTGACACGTGGCTACATAGGATTAAATTGACCCTTTTTCATTTTTTCTAACCTGATTCACTTAAGAAAAACCCACTATCCGACCCAAAGTTCACCCGCTTCTCTCCTCTTTTCCTCCACTCCTCTCTTACATCGTTGTTATGACCATGGCTGGAATCTCTATTGGAGAATTCGCCGGAAACCAGGGAGAACTTTTGGATTTGAAATTTACCAGATCTAACCGGAAATTTTCCGGCGAGCCATTGTTCTCTTTTTCATATGTTTTTTTTATTTACAAGATCCAGAAGGGAGCCGAATAATAGCTGAAACTCCAACCATGGAGTATGGTCGGCATCTTGCCGAAGAATTTTCCGGCGGCCTTTTATTGCAACAACAGCGGCACGTTAGATTCAGCTTGCTCATGATGGTAAAAATCAAATCTTTCTTCCAATGGTGTAGAAACAATATCATCCCACAAAGGTGGACTATCATAAATACCAACATCTAGGCAAAGAGTCATCACGCATAGGAGTAGGATCATCAAATAAAGCACAAGGATTCTTAACTTTGTGGCTCATTTTTACAGCACTCACAAATCTCTTCAAAAGAGTCACATTCTACAATTTCAATAGCATCATAGTTGGCAACTTTACAAGCTCATAAGAATTTCCGACATGATTTCCACAAATTCATTCAACTAGTGGTAACTCATGAACATCATTCTCATTGCAAGATAATGAATCATAAAGGTCAAAAACTCAATTGATCATTAAAATTGGTCAACGTATCGAGAGTGGAAGGCTTAGCCAATTTACCGTGCAACTCCTCTACAAGATTTTCTTTACCTTGATCTTACATATTTATTCCCATAGGTTCTCTTGAAAACATAACTTGATCTTTTTCCAAGCTCTTCAAAGATGGTTGTTTTTCTCTTGATGGTTCTTCTTGGTGCGCACCTCTAAGAGTTCCTACACAAGACACAATACAACTAGAGAAAGAAGAAATGTTAGAAAAACATTTAAGAAAAATCTTCACTTATCAAAAAAGATAAATGAAGAAATATTAGAATAAGAAAAATTCTCACTCATCTTTTGCTTTTCGTCTTTCTTTTCTCTCATTCCGTTTTCAAGTTGTTCACTCTTTTCTTGTGACAACCACTTACTTCATTCAACACTTTCACTTTTTTCTCCGCTATAGAGTTGTCACTCTTCTCTTCTTCACTTCTCTCCTTTTTTTTCTCTCATTCTCACTTTTTCTTGAAGCATTCTTTAAGTAGGCCTTGAAGCTCATTTGCTCTTTCATTACCTCACAAGACTCCAATGGGTCTAGAGTAATCTTCTTGTCTTCCGGTTCAAAAAATAGTGTTTATTCAAAAAATAGAAAATGTTTTCCTTATCAAGAGAACTTCTTCTCAACTTTTCCCATCCTCACCAACCCACCCCACCCTCTCTCCAAAAAAGATTTTTTTTTTTCAATTTCAGTTTTCCCGTTACCACCCACCCAACTACCCCTCCACCCCACTGCAGCCCCCCTCGGAGGTTTATATGTTTGGAAGTTTACGAGTTTAGAAATTATAAAGTTTACGGATTCGAAATTCCGCGGTTTTGAAAGTTTAGCGGTTCGAAAGTTTATGAAATTTGTGGGTTCGGAAGGTTGTTGGTTTGAAAGTTTATGGCTTCATGTTTATTATATCTAAATTATTTATGAATACTCTTGAGAAGTCATTTTCCTTAATTTGCGTACCAAACATCGGAAAATGAATAAGATTACTACTTGTTTTTCAAGAAAAATATTTTCCGTTATACCAAACAAACCCTTTGTGTATTATCCACTTCTTCCAAGGAATTAGATAAAGCTCTCCTAACCAACAAATCTTCATTCACAATGACAACTTTATCTTTCACATTTTTGACCAAAGAAGTACTACTTTTAGCAACTTCATCAAAAGCATCAACTTCAGACTCCACAACAGTTCCAACACAAGAAGTATCATTCTTTTCACATTTCTCAAGAGATGACACAATTTCACATGTAGTCAAGACTAGGCATCTTTAAAGGAGTGTTACTAGAAACATCATGAAGCACATTCATATTTTTAGAAACACTTTCCATACATGGAGAGATGTTACTAGGCACACTTGTAACACTGTTATCACAAGAATAATGATTAGGTGGAGTAAAATTACCTTGCATTCCAGTTGGAGGCACATTGTAGCAATTGACATCTCCACATTTGGCATGACATGTGACCCATAGGATCTACTTGACCCTCCTTTAAATTGAACATATTGGTAAGGGCTCACATTTTGATCAACTTTCAAGTGTCCACTCTTAACTTTTTTGCCTTTGCTGCAAATCTCCCCAAGACTTTCTCCTTAGCAAGCTTTTTTTCCTCAATCCAAAGGGTAAATGGAATACCGTCTTCTTTCTTTGACAATAGTGTAGTAATCCTCAGTATGTAAGCTGGTGGTCAAGGAACCATGAAAATCCAAAACATAGATGGCTTGTTGTCGAAAGATGGACAAAGAACCAAATTCCATCAAGCTAAGGTAGTTTCCTATCTCTATCTTTTGAAACTTAGTCTTATTGACTTCAAATGGCACTTCACAATATTCATATGGTAGGCGCAACAAATCAACCAGAGAAGGACTAATGAAGTTTGAACAATAATCTCTACTCATGTCAAGCATAAATCCTTCCTCACTTGCAATCTTTACACTAAACTTACACCACCACTTTTCTTCATTTAGTCTTCTTAGACAAGTAGTGTCATTCTTCTCATAACCTTGCTCTTTAAAAAAACCATACTTACTCTTGAGGTATCCCTTTTACTTGCTCCCGTAGTTCAACTTCATTTACACTCAACTTCTTTAAAAAGTATCCCACCATGTAAATGCATGTCCCACTAGTTGAGTAGCCACATAATGCCCTCTTTTGGACTTAGGAATATGGTTAATGTCAAACAACATTTCAAGCCTGTATTCCGAATCATAATAATTTCCAAAGTGCTACTTCCATTAAGTGGTGGTACAAAAATCTTTAATGCATCCATATAATCATCAAGAATTTCAAAATTTTCTCCATTCATGCTAGATAACACTAGTATGAACAAGTACTAAATGAAATCTAGCTAAGGATTATCAATAAAAAAAACTGAAAATTAATTGAGAAAGAAAGTACATAAATCTGAATTTTTTAGCCACAGTTTCGCACCGTAAAAGAATCCAGACATTAGATTGCAATTTTTACAAGGAAGAAACTCCAATTGGTTTTCTCTGCAACAATAAATCTTTGAACCCTTTTTTAATATAAAACACAAATTTTGATAGTTCCAGCTGCACACTTCAAGCATCCTATGACCCAACAACTTAATTCTTCCATCTCCACCAGAAGAACTCTTAAATGACTAATGCAATCTCAGCTCACACAATCACTTAGAACAAACTCAAATTTCAGCCGCCAAATCAAGGAAATCAACAATTACCCAGCAACAAAAACTCCCAAATGCGGCTCCAATTCGATCTTCAGGTCACTCACCAAATAACATGATTTCAAGCAACAATAGCAAATCCCACTAATCTCAATCACGGATTTCGTTTCAATTAAGCTTTCAAATACTAATCCAAGTTCGAGATCCTATGTTAGCTCGGACTCTCCGAAAATGTCAGTGGGTGCGTGTCGGATCCTTCAAAAATAGTGCATTTTCGGAGGATCCGACACGGGTGCGGCGCTATTTTTGAGAGTCCGCGCAACATAATCGAGACCAGTCAACTTCTCCTACACACAGATTCAAATTTGAACATAAGCAGAAATGAAAATTTCTTTTTTTGTAATTTTTTCGATTTTCAAATTTTTTGGGAGTTTTGATTGGCAAACAAAAATTTAAACTAACCAGGAAGGCTCAAGGAAATTGAGTATAAAATAACTTAACCCCGCAAAAACACCATGAAATCGGTATAGAAAGCAATAAAAGGATAGATAGATTAGGAATTAGAGTAGGGGAATAACGAGAACTTAACTATAAGCTAGTTAAACCCTCGAAATCTCTACAATCAGTAATTAAGAATAAAAGATACCAACACCAACTTACCCAGTATTATCCCACACCGTGGGGTCTGGGGAGGGTAGTGTGTACACAGACCTTACCCTTACCTTGTGAGGATAGAGAGGCTGTTTCCAATAGACTCTCGGCTCAGGAAAGCATAAGCACCGCATTAATGAAAATATAGACAAGAAGGGACAGTACCAAAAAGCCATATAAAAGCAGAATAAAAACAACAAGATAGTGAGGTAATCAACAATGAAAGAAAACAACGTTTAGTCATAAAAACCTACTACCAACAGAAAGCGAAACTGCCTGCCAATACTACTGTTATGAACACTGTAGACTACCTACTCTACTACCCTCCTCAACCATGGCATTCCGTAATCCATTGTTGTTGCGATGGCTTGGTTATTATCCAGGTTACTTATAATGTTGATGGTAAACGCTCCATGCTTTTGCTATGGAACCCTTCCACGAGAGAATCAATAGTACTTCCTAATCCAGAATTAACTTTGAAGGGAGATTCCCTTTTGGGATTGGGTTATGACTCAACTAGTGGTGGCTATAAGATACTTAAAGTTCGCACGGATATAGATGGTCACAAAGTACCTAGTGAAATTCTCTCGTTGAAAAGTGGTTCATGGAGAAACATTGATAAACATCCTCGTGGCATTTCCAATGTGTTGCGTGGTTTGCATTCTTTGGCATTTATACACGATACATTTCATTGGATTGGTATCTTTGGAAATTATCCTGTGGTTCCAAGAAATTATTCTCTGGTTTCGTATAGCATTTCTAATGAAGTGTACAAAGACATACCATTGCCAAGGCAAACATTATGCTTGAGGGGCAACATCACTTTTGGCGTTTCAGTATTAGAAGGAATGCTTTGTGTTCATTGTAGTTCTATTCAGAAGAAGGAAACTTTTAAGTTATGGGTGTTGAAAGACTATGGTGTCAAGAAATCTTGGAATGCATTGCTTACTGTAGAAGAACCTTGGATTTGTAATATCCAACCAAAATATAGGTTTGCGATCGGCAAATTGCTATTCTGGTGCTATTACTCTCAATGTCGTGGAAATGCATTTCGGACTTCTAGTGCACCATTTGTATTATGGCCTCGAGGTGACATTCAGCATGGAATCGCTTTTACAGAAAGCTTGATCGCTCCAAAATTACTTATTTATTAGTTTCTTTTGTATGATCCAGACACTTTTTTCTGTTATCATGTTACAACCTTGTATCCTTATTAGTTTATCTATTTCTCGCCAGTTTTTAAGTTTCAAACTTCATTGGCCAATCTTTGCTTATTTCATGTTGTGAGAGGAACAGCAGGATTCATTTCATTGCTAAGAAAGAAGTGGTTAACCCCTCGTCTCTTCAGTGGAACAGTTCCTAATGAATTAACTAATTCAAAATTGTATGGTTAGAGCTTTCTTAGCAAGGGAGAAGTGATTCATTTCAATAATAAGAAAGAAGTGGTTAACCTTGTATCCTATGAAAGCATGCTTGTTTCATAGTTCAGTGGAACAGTTCCTAATGAATTAACTAATTCAAAATTGGCCAAAATTTTAAGTTTATTCTTCAGCTGTAGTTCAGTGGAACAGGTATTAATGAATTATCTAATTCAAAATTGGATGGTTAGAGCTTTTTACAGTTGCATTTAGTGTTGGCAAAATGGTTAAAGAAAACAGTCATCTATCTATATTATCCATTAAAAAATGGGTTAGTTAACGAGTTTTTTTTTTAAAACGGAAATCATATTATCCACTTAGAATATGGATAACTAATGGGTTTAATTTCTCATTTACATCTTGTCTTTTTGAGAACATGATAAATGTTACGCGGCGCCTTCCTGAGATTCCTTGGAAGGGCAACGTAAGGCTAGGCAACTGATGTCAGTACAGTTGTTGTCCGCCAACTGAGGTCCCCTCCGTACGCTAGACGAGATTGTCAGTGTCGTACGGGAAAACCAATGTCAAGAGCAATTGAGAGAACAGAAATGAGAATTCAGAATGAAAGAAAGCTTGATTGCATTAATGAAAGCTATTACAGAAAAGCAACGCGGTGTCGAGGGGGAGAGACACCAGTACAGAGAATTGCTTGCTTGCTAGAAAGTTTTGATTGCTTGATCCCCCCTAATAGTACTTAAAAAAAATAAACCAAAGTTACAGGAGTAGACCTAATTAAGCTAGAGAAACATAATGGAAGTGCATGAAATAAACTACTCTATATTTACAATGAAAATGACTTAGTTTTCTATAAGGCAGCAGCAGGTCCGTTGTCAGCAGCAGTGTCTTTGGCATCACGGTCTGCGCGCGCGGCGCTGTTGGCCTCTGCCTGCGGCATGGCACTCGCGAGGGATATCGGTGGGGCGACAGAGGCACCTGCGCGCTTGTCACTTGGCGCGGCCAAGACCACGGGGTCGTCCGTGGCGCTAGGCATTGGGAGGTTCGCTAGGACGCCACGGGGCGCGCCCAAGGGGTCATGGGGCATGGCTGGAAAGCCGCCCATGACAATGCATGGCTTAATCTTTGAGACAAGCATATGACTACTGGCAGGATCAACCAGGTAGCATTCCTCATTGACGCCGGCGTCGCATGAGCATGGCCGACCCAAAGGGCACGTCCAAGTCCAAGACGAGCACGGCCGTCATTCGTAAGGAGCATTCTTTGGGCAGATAGGAGCCAATGAAGACCCCATGCCCATTGCGTTTACCGAATCCGAGAGTCCGAGCATACTAGTCCTGGACCAAGCCATCGCAGGGCGAAGCAAGGACGACTTGGGACACAACTGCAGCTTTTGGTTCACCCCGCACGTCGAACGCGAGGGGCGAAAGGCAACCGATTGTGCTTGATAATGCCTTGGCATTAGGTATGCAACACAGAAAACCGACGCCAAACAAGCCTAATTTGCGCTTGTGCCATGACTGAGATGGCATGCGGGCTAGGACGTCGCTGCTCAAGCAGGGATCCAACCTAGCCACACAAGCCGAACACCACTCATGTGCCGCACGTACACTTGCCTCGCCGATGCAAGCCAACAACAGCCNCCACTACCTCAACCGTCCCTTCGACGGGCCGCAATGCGGTCCCCATGATTCACCATGGTCAGAAAATGGTGGTATGTCAATACGTTCCCTCGTCCGATGTCGAGCCTGGGCTCTGATACCAACTGATACGCGGCGCCTTCCTGAGATTCCTTGGAAGGGCGACGTACGGCTAGGCAACTGATGTCAGTGCAGTTGCTGTCCGCCAACTGAGGTCCCCTCCGTACGCTAGACGAGATTGTCAGTGCCGTACGGGAAAACCAATATCAAGAACAATTGAGAGAACAGAAATGAGAATTCAGAATGAAAGAAAGCTTGATTGCATTAATGAAAGCTATTACAGAAAAGCAACGCGGTGTCGAGGGGGAGAGACACCAGTACAGAGAATTGCTTGCTTGCTAGAAAGTTTTGATTGCTTGATCCCCCCTAATAGTACTTAAAAAAATAAACCAAAGTTACAGGAGTAGACCTAATTAAGCTAGAGAAACATAATGGAAGTGCATGAAATAAACTACTCTATATTTACAATGAAAATGACTTAGTTTTCTATAAGGCAGCAGCAGGTCCGTTGTCAGCAGCAGTGTCTTTGGCATCACGGTCTGTGCGCGCGGCGCTGTTGGCTTCTGCCTGCGGCATGGCGCTCGCGAGGGATATCGGTGGGGCGACAGAGGCACCTGCGCGCTTGTCACTTGGCGCGGCCAAGACCACGGGGTCGTCCGTGGCGCTAGGCATTGGGAGGTTCGCTAGGACGCCACGGGGCGCGCCCAAGGGGTCATGGGGCATGGCTGGAAAGCCGCCCATGACATTCTCCCCCACCTGATTTGGCGACGTCCTCGGCGCCTTCCTTGCAAAATAATCTTCAATGAGGCTCTTGTAGGCTTTGAGGTTTGTTCCCCTCTCCCAAGTATTCTCTTCTGCATCACAGTCCTGCCATTTCACCAAAAATTCTTGGTGATCTTTCCTTGAGGCATGAATCACTCTGTCATCAAGGATAGCTTCAACACGCCTTCTCCCGGTTGAATTGGGACCTCGAATACTGGGTATTGTGAGCTGGCTCCTTGAAGGATCCTCCGTGTCTTCCCGAAAAGGTTTCAGAAGACTGACATGGAAGACAAGATGAATTTTCCACCAAGCTGGGGTATCTACCCGGTATGCAACTTTCCCAATACGCTTTTCAATGGACAAGGGTCCAATGTATTTTTGCAATAGGCGAGGGTCATGGACCCCTGCAAATAAGTACCGCTTTGGAATTTTGACCATCACTTTGTCTCCTACTTGATATTCAACAAAGCGACGATTCTGATCAGCATGCCTCTTCATCCGCTTTTGGGCTTTGACAAGGTAGCTCCGCACTATCTCCAAATTCTGCCTCCACTCTTTTGAGAAGCTGGTAGCTCGAGGAGATTTAGCCATGTTTGGTGCATTCACAGTGTGTGGGAGTAGCGGTTGCTGTCCGGTAACAATTTCAAAAGCGCTTTTGTTGGTACTAGAGCTCTTTTGTGAATTGAAACACAGTTGAGCAGCATCCAGAAGCTTCACCCAATTCTTCTGCGATCCGGTTACAAAGTGGCGGAGGTATTCCTCCAACATACCATTGAACCGCTCCGTCTGGCCATCAGATTGCGGATGAAAACTTGAGCTGTGACTCAATTTTGACCCAAGGCACTTGAAGAGTTGGGTCCAAAAGTTGCTAGTGAAGCGTGAGTCGCGGTCACTAACAATGTCTTTGGGCAGGCCCCAATATTTGACGACATGAGAGAAGAAGAGTCGAGCTGTATCTTCTGCTGATATATATTGTGGGGCTGCAATAAAGGTAGCATACTTAGAGAACCGGTCCACCACCACTAAGATGGTTGTGAGATCTCCGACCTTGGGCAATCCGGTGATGAAATCCAGGGAAACGCTTTCCCAAGGTCTCTTTGGAACAGCAAGTGGTTCCAAGAGTCCCGCTTGTGTCAAGCGGTCCGACTTGTTCTTCTGGCATACTAGACAAGTCTTCACATACTGAGCGACATCATCGGCCATTTGAGGCCAATAATAGGCACGACGAAGTAACGCCATGGTGCGTTCCTCACCAGGATGGTCGGCCCACAGAGTATCATGACATTCCGCTAGAAGAGTCCTCCGCAAATCTCCTCCTTTAGGAACATAAAGTCGGTTCCCTTTTACTTTCAGAAACCCATCTTCCCTGTAGAACTGGCGAGTCTTGCCCTGTCCTACCAAATCAACCAAATACTGAGCAGCAGGATCCCTGATGAGTAGATCCCGTATTTGGTCCTTGATGGATGTGGCTACCTCGCTCCCCCTTAGGGTGGCGAGTAGGCACACCGATGCTAGGTCAGCTCTCCGACTGAGCGCATCAGCAACATGATTGGTCTTTCCACTGCGATACTCCAAGTTGAAGTGGAATTCAGCTAGGAGTTCCTGCCACTTGGCCTGTCGGCCGTTCAGATTCGGCTGGGTCATGAAATGGCTAACAGCTGTGTTGTCTGTCTTGACCACGAACGGAGTTCCCAGAAGATAGTGCCTCCAGAGGCGCAAGCAGTGGACGACGGCCAATAATTCTTTCTCATGGGCGGCATAGCGCCGCTCTGCATCCTTCAGCTTCCGACTCTCGTACGCTACAGGGTGCCCTTCTTGTAGCAGGACTCCGCCGAGTGCATAGTCAGAAGCATCTGTTTGTACCTCGAACGGCTTGGCCAAATCAGGAAGGGCCAAGACGGGACTACTAGACCTAGCCGCTTTTAATGCGTTGAAGGCCTCTGCTCTCCTTGGTCCCCAATCCCAAGGTGTGACCTTTTTGAGGAGTTCTGTCAATGGCACTGCGATAAGTGAGTAGTTCTTCACAAACCGCCGGTAGAAGTTGCATAGGCCAAGGAACGCCCTCAAGGCGTGGACATCCTTCGGTGTTGGCCAATCTGTGATGGCCTGGATTTTCTGTTGGTCCATCTTGATGCGTCCTTCCTCGATGACATGTCCGAGGAAATCAATTTGCTTCTGAGCAAAGGAGCACTTGGATAACTTTACATATAGTTCATGTTCTCGCAACCGAGCTAGGACCTTCTGCAAGTGTACTAGGTGTTCTTCCAATGTCTGGCTATATACCACAATGTCATCTAAGTAGACCACCACAATTCGTCG